TATTATTATCTGAATAATGTAATTATTCATCATACGATTTTTTGTTTCTGACATTACATTGTTTCATTTTCACAACCGTTTTACCTATACTATAAATCAGCGGGGATCTTGAACATAATAAAGACATGTATTTATACTGAAAATACAAGTTACTTTGTGTTAATACCAAAGAAAAGTGTGCTACAAAACGATACTTTTGGGGAGTATGCAAATTTATGATTGATTGTACAAAGTAAAATCTCACTCTTGAAATTTGTACTTGGAATAAAGTAGCCTACTGGTTAAGGCATTCATCTTGGTAGCGAAATAATTAGAACGTTTGTCTTGATAACATCGTGCCGCGGTTCTCAACCGGTGCCTACTAAGAAATTTCAACCAGTCGGAAGGACGGTTGAACATAAAAGGGTTTTCAAATATAGTTACTGAAGTATGTTGTTTACAATGTAATATAAAAATACTTTAAAAACTTGATATTGTTCGAAGCAATCCGTGAAATTTTGGGATCTGAACTAGTTGGCTCTCAATTGGGAAAAGCTGGGGACCAATGGCCTTGTGAGGCATTCGTTTCGGGATATGAAGGTCATGAGATCGAGTCCACGCCAAATGTTTTGGGCAACAACATGTGCACTGCGACAAGGATTCCATGCTATTAGTGTGGAGGGAGGAAAGCATAGGCTATTAACAGTGCTATTACTCCTCCAGCATGCACTTTAATTATCTTCACCAATCAAGTACCATATAATCGTCTACTACCTACAACTTAATATTTCGCTTATTAAAGTAATACATTTCTCCTATTTAATATGTTATATTCTCAAGTTTCAAAGTTGAGGTATTGTAAGCTGTATTGTAATCTAACATCTCGTTTCAAATTTGGTGTTTCAGAGTGTGAAACTATTAAAACTGTCCAGGAAATCTGTAGCACAGCAACCATGTTTTTTTTATAAATAATTTGCAAAAGTTTTGTACTTAAATTATTTCGATTAATTTTCACAACTTGCATAAGTACATCCTTTTCTCCATTGCTCTGTGTGCGAATAAGTTAAACATTGTATTAACTAATAAATAAAAATATTAATTTGTGTAAACTGAATATTAAAAAGCGTACGATCTCCTTAAAAGTTAACGAGATATAATAATATTGTGAGTTATAAGATAATTGTATAATTTGTTCGTTGACTAGATGGGGCTGTTGTTTGCTAGCTAGAGGGTGATACAGGATTTTAATGACGTGATGTTAAGTTCAGTAGTTAAGTTACCCTAAATCTTTTTTTTTTTTAAGTCTAGAGATGTGACGTAAAGTTTTCTTGCATATTCATATGAAGATTATAGATACGAGATTATGTTAAAAAATAGTATGAGTTCAAAGATAGTCAAGATGATTGAGTTATTTCGAAATAGAGATTTTTTGTCAGTGTTAACTATCGCGTTACGTGGTACAAGTAAGTTGATATTTGTTTACGGTGTTTAGTACAGTTATCGTTCTGTAAAATTAGGCCTACAAGTTACAACAGTAATAACGTTAAACGAGGTAATAAATCAGTTTGTTACAGTTAGTGAGTTACCGGACTGGATATTAACATAATTTCATCATATGTCTTAAAAGAATTATTAAAGAAAGCAAACTTTACAAAAATGCTTCTAAATGTTTACTTTTACTCTTAGAAGCTACACCGATGATTCCTTTCATTGATGCGCGATTAAGCCTAACAATGTCGTTTGTATCATATTATGGTGCGCGATTAAGCCTAACCGTACGATGTGCTTCGTATTATGATGCACAATTAAGCCTAACATGTCAGTGTGTTACTACTGACTATTATATAGTGTAGTTAATCAATAATTTTCTTTACCACCGAGTGATATTTAGTATGGTTTGACCATTTGTTTCCTTATTGGATAATATTCAACGTAGTTGGACCATTATTTTCCTTTATTACTTAGCTTATTTTGATCACTATTTTCTTTTAGTTTAGTACTAAGTGACATTTACTGATTAAGCCGTTTAAGTACTTTTTCCGTTCTTTTTGTTAAGGCTTAACATTGAGCGATATATATTTTATAATTTTTCATTTAAATGCGTTTTCATGAATCGAACAATTTCTGGATTCAACTAATTTTATTATTTTTCAGAATTGGAAGCATTAGAAGCTTGTAATTGGCTGAGAGCGGCAGGATTTCCACAGTATTCACAGATGTACGAAGGTAAATATGACATAACTTGATTTTAAGCATTTTGTACTTTTAGATGTGAGAAAAGAGAACGAGTTAAAGCATTATTCGCTTTATAAATCTTTCTAACGTAATATATAATTAGGGACTGAACTGTTGGACACTATTCGCTTTATAAATCTTTCTAACGTAATATATAATTAGGGACTGAACTGTTGGACACTATTCGCTTTATAAATCTTTCTAACGTAATATATAATTAGGGACTGAACTGTTGGACACTTTATAATTTCAGATTCGAATTGATTTACTGAACAGGAATATTATAAACTGCGCTGAATAAACTAATTTTTCTCAAAGATAACACGGATAGGTTATGTTTAAAAATAAGTTATCAAAAGATGATAATTTAACGAGTCCAATAGAGACGAAGTGGTTTTTAGTAGCAGCTGACTTTTGAAAGTTGTAGATGATGTACCTGTTGAATCACACTGGGAAGACATAGAGGTCTCTGGACGCGACATTTGAGAGGGAGGATTCGCCAATTATAAGTTGACACGCACACACACACACAGATACACAAACTTTAGCCATATATTGTTTTAGATTAGTTGTAAAGTACGGCTTGGGTGGTTGATTACAAGTTTTCCCAAAATTCACTCTTTGCACGTAAGAAACCATATATAGAAAAACGGGTTTAATAAGGGAAGTTTAGATTTTTTAGTTTATTCATTAAAATTTTCTTGAGTTTTGATATTTTTTTGTAGAACTTGAAGGTACTTCGACAGATACTTTACAATCTTTTAACATATGAACATAATAAACCAGATGAATAGCATAGAGAGCTATACAAAAACTGTCGTTAACATAATTACCAAACACTTCCGTACCTTCCCCGCTGTTGGTACTTTATAAGTGACTCATACTTGTTTTGTGTTCTTAGAAATATAACTGTAATAAATAAATGTTTAATAAGTAAATAAACATTCAGTATAACATTAATGTTATTGGTGTGCGAGGGCTGAGAAATTATGTAAACTATATCTTTCTCAATATTGAACTTGTTTTGTATAAAAATGGCATAACAAAAACAGGTTTTTGGTGTTTGAGGACATGTTTGTGTTTTTCTACTTTTCTTAGACAGTGAAATTAGCCACAGTACGAGGAGCTTCACATAGAATAAGTTAATTAACATACGGTTCGTCGTTAGAATCACGAAATTAGCAGGAATTGCGTAGTTGCTGTAAAGCATTAAATATGGTATAAATATGCAGAGCAAACCATGGTTTCAATAATTAGAAGAATTAATTAACATTCTTAGTAAAAATCTGTAAAGAAACCCGTAGGAGATTCTGGCAGTTTGAAGTGATTAAACTACTGATTTCCAGTCTCAAACAGGTTAAGACAGTATTGGATATTTTACCTACATCTAGCTATTGAGAGGGGTGGTGAACGTTTATTTGGTAAAAGAAAATGCAAACTCCTTGTAACTGCTTTAATATTTAGAATTTTACTTGTCCATGACTTATCAACACTGAGTATTCAGCCTTCACATTCAATAGTACACGTATTTGTTTGTTTTAAAGCAAAACCATATTAGGCTATCTGCTGTGTCCACCACGGGGAACTGAACCCCAGATTTTAGCACTGTAAGTCTGTAAACCTATAACTTTCTCACTGGGGAGCGTTATTTGTGTACTTTGTATCACCAAGCTTCGTTCATTTTAAGTTATTATTCTAAACACTCAGTTTACTTTTAAAATTTTCTCGTGTGGTTTCATCTGAGTTATGGTGAGCATTGCTATATTTTGATTATGTTGACTATAACTAACTGAATGCGTATTTTCCAACTGTTACGAATGTTGACTGTAACTGAATGCCTATTTTTCTACTGTTGCGAATGTTGACTGTAACTGAATGCCTATTTTTCTACTGTTGCGAATGTTGACTGTAACTTAATGCGTATTTTTCAATTGTTACGAATGTTGACTGTAACTTAATACGTATTTTTCAACTGTTACGAATGTTGACTATAACTAACTGAATGCCTATTTTTCTACTGTTGCGAATGTTGACTGTAACTAAAGGCGTATTTTCTAACTGTTACGAATATTGACTGTAACTGAATGCGTATTTTCCAAATGTTGACTGTAACTGAATGCGTATTTTCCAACTGTCGCGAATGTTGACTGTAACTAAAGGCGTATTTTTCAACTGTTACGAATGTTGACTGTAACTTAGTGCGTATTTTTCAACTGTTACGAATATTGACTGTAACTTATGCGTATTTTCCAACTGTTACGAATGTTGACTGTAACTTAATGCGTATTTTCCAACTGTTAATTGTAACTTAATGCGTATTTTCCAACTGTTAACTGTAACTTAATGCGTATTTTCTAACTGTTACGAATGTTAACTGTAACTTAATGCGTATTTTTCAACTGTTACGAATATTGACTGTAACTTAATGCGTATTTTCCAACTGTTGCGAATGTTGACTGTAACTGAATGCGTATTTTCCAACTGTTGCGAATGTTGACTGTAACTGAATGCCTATTTTTCTACTGTTGCGAATGTTGACTGTAACTAAAGGCGTATTTTCCAACTGTTACGAATGTTGACTATAACTAACTGAATGCGTATTTTCCAACTGTTGAGAATGTTGACTATAACTAACTGAATGAACAATAGGAAAATACGAGATACTAAGAGTAATCTTCTAAGGTATATGTCCCGTTCAAAACCTGTTGTTTTATATTGGTTATACCAAACACTCACCCACCTTAGTCGCATGAAGTATTTTTTGTTTGTATACCTTCATAGTATATAATTTTATCTTCAGAGTTATGTGTAAATAAATGTGCCGAAAACCTGAAAGTTGTTTGATCAGACCGATGTATTAGTCTGTGGAATGCATTCCCAATGTGCAGCGAAGTCACGTTACATGATCCGACAGCAAAGCACGTGGACGACACGTGCAAACGTTTCATGTAAAGTACTGCGCATAAATTAGAGACCACTGAATAATTACCTTATACTTTATGACACCGAGTTTCTTTTAATGTAGGTACTTTATTATTTTACAATGTTTGAAAGCAAAACGAACTCATTTAAAACGAATTTGGAGTTTACTTTCCTAACGTTTAGTGTGTCTCTCCTTAGCGATCCCCAGTGGTTTAACGGTAAGTTTGGCGGCTTTTAAGCTAAAATTCATGTTTCAATACCTGTGGTAGGGATAGCCCATTTTGTAGCTTTGTGCTTAATAACAAATAAAAGACGTGCCTTAACTGAACTCGCTGCCTGAAGCATTCATTCGAACCGTTGGAGACATATAGGCTTTATTAAGATACTGTTTTACTGCGTTCGCTGTATGTATAAAACCGTTATCGTGCTGGAAAATGAAATATTCTCGCTAACCGAAGAAACAGCGATGTGAATGGACATATCGAGCAGAATACAGGACTCCATCCCTACGGTAGAGTTCACCAACTCCGGTTGTGATTAAACTTCGATGTTAACTCCATCTTGTTGCGGGCTTATCACAGATAACCCCTTGTGTAGCTTCGCGCTTTAACAACAACCACTCTGGGCTTATCACAGATAACCCCTTGTGTAGCTTCGCGCTTTAACAACAACCACTCTGGGCTTATCACAGATAACCCCTTGTGTAGCTTCGCGCTTTTACAACAACCACTCTGTTGGTTCCAAACATCTCGGACTTTGAGTCATTAGATTAAATTACTATTCTGTATATACAATCTGTTTCATTTTTATGGATGTTTCTTCTGTTTGTCATCATTCCGGTACAAATATTTTCTTTCTGTAATGCACCCTTTCAGTGCTTCTTGGTGTAATCACACTGTGGAAGAGTCTCTTTTAATACCAGTGGTTTTTTGCAGCAAGATGTTTGCTAAATTTACCTCTATCTCAGAGTGAAGTAAGTCTTAAGTTCTTCCATGCCTGGCCTTGTTATCATCACCGTTTCACTCTACCTCATGTTGTTGTTGTTTTATTTCCAGTTTTTGATAGTGTCGTTTTTCCTGAAACTTTCCGCTGACTGTAGCCATCTATTTATAATACTATGTCTTTACCTTACATTACCAGCTATCGTCCACATCTGTAATTACCTGTATCATAGAAATAAAACAAGCAGCAGTCGGACGCCCCTGGTTACATTATTCATTGGTCCCCAGTGGCTCAGCGGTAAGTCCAAAGACTTATAACGCTAAAAACTGGGTTTAGATACTCCTGGTGGGCACAGCACAGATACCCCATTGTGTATGTTTGCGCACAAACAAAGAAGCAAAACATTTTTCTCCGCGTGATTGCTGGTCAGATTCTGGAGTTGTGGACTTTGTTGTTCGTTGGAGATCGGTCTTGGAAGCTCTACCCTTCTACAAGGTCACATTCTTCTGGTAACTTTCACCACTATCTGTCAAGTGGTCACTCAGAAGTTTGCCTTGTTCTTATCAAGTCCAACTCTATTCTTATTCCTTTCTTCAACTGAACCTTTTTTCTTCTTCTTGCTGTTCTAATTAAGTGTGGGGGCACTTTGAAGAAACATTTTATGAGGTACATGTTTAATGCCACATGATGTGGCATTAAATGCTAAATGAATATTAACGCAATTATATTGCCCAGTTTAGCTACATTATTTTTTTAAAATACTTCAAAATAACTTTTCTAGAGTAATTCCAAGAGTTTTAAAATATATTTATCTAAGAAATAGGTACCTATAATACTTAAAATCGTAGTACCCCAGTGGCACAACGGTATATCCGTGGACTTACAACGCTAGAAACCGGGTTTTGATACCCGTGGTGGGCAGAACACAGATAGCCCACTGTGTAGCTTTGTGCTTGACTTCAAATAAACAAACAAGCCATAAGATATATGTCGTATGTGAAAAAAAAATCGTTTCTAGGGGTTAAAAATTCTATCCTTATGTAATGTTTTCATCCGAATGATTTTAAAGCTCACCACTTAAAGACCGTTTGTTAATAAGCACAAAGCTACACAAAAGGTTATCTGTGCTCTGCCCACCACGGGTATCGAAACCCGGTTTCTGGTAGTAAAATTCCGCAGACATACTCTGTTTCTAGTAGTAGAAGTCCGCAGACTATGTCACTCTGAGGAGCTTTTGAAGGTCAAATGACGAAGTGACATTTCCCCCTCCCCTCATTTCGTGTATTTCAGATTTTAGACCGATTATTTGTGGTCGTCAGAGTGCCAGTGTTTAACGTGCATGTATAATATCTTAAGTTTATGTCTCCGATTTCAGTGATCTTTTCAACTTTATGAAAAGCTGCTGCTAGCTTATTGCCGTTTTCAGTTGTCTGTTGCTACGGCAACGTGTGGAGGTGCGCGAGCACAGTTACCACTATAATTGACAAAAAACGTGAAGCGCGCTATAAAAACGAAAGCAGGCTGTTGCTTAGGGTAGATTGTTTAAGCTACGATAAGTTGAAATATGATGAGCTTCCGATAGTTATGACCTGTCGTGAAAGTTATACTATCAATTGGTAAGTAGTCATTTTAAACGATATGATATAAAATGTGGACAAATATAAAATCAAGGGATTGCAATACACACATGTCAAATATAAGCCGATTATCGTGTACACCCCCACAAGATGATGAACGATTCAATGAATTTGTGTTACAGTAAACTGTGATATCATACTCGTAGCAAATGTAATTAGAAGATAAACGTACTCAATTACATATCACAAGGATAGGAAAGAAATATCACGAGTAAAGTGTTTATTTAATAGCCTTAATATTGTACGTCACAAAAACTTGGGTTGTGTAACGAAGATAGACTTGTAAGTTGTAACCTTACACCTCTAAATTTTTAAAACAATCTTGCGACATGAGAGTAACTTCCTAGATTGACATTTGTAACTTCATCGTTTTATAAATGACCGTGTTAACATCCTCCTGGAGTGTTAATGTTACAGGTATGTTGGTACTCGTTTTACTTTTGTCAATGATTTTTAAGAAGAACCTCCACACGTGAGCAGTGTTAGAACTGTTGTTTAATGACAGTCAACATATTAATTGGTCTGTATAGATCTCTACAAGTCCTTTGAAGACCTATTTTTTATTTTGTGTCGAAGAAGTTAGTTCTTCATCCAGTATTGTATAGATATTATAGAGAAAGATAGATGAATTCCAACTGATAAGAAAGATGTTATAGATCTGTATTTCATGTTTTAGAATAGCTGATGTACACTTGTATGAAATATGTTATAGACCTGTATTTCATGTTTTAGAATAGCTGATGTACACTTGTATGAAATATGTTATAGACCTGTATTTCATGTTTTAGAATAGCTGATGTACACTTGTATGAAATATGTTATAGACCTGTATTTCATGTTTTAGAATAGCTGATGTACACTTGTATGAAACTTTTCAGTAGTAAATATTTGAATCGCCTACTTTGGCAAAGTCTGCATTAAAGTCATATGGAAGAAATACCATTCTCTTCAATGGAAGTTTAAAACACAAGAAAAAGAAAGGTGTTTAACATCTGTTTTATACTTTCATTGATTACATTGTAACTCTGATTGAATAGAGAAAACGATACTACTATTGCTTATATGCATTGTATTATACGTTTTTATCCCAGTTAAAAAGAAATAAAGGTGTTTATTATATAAACAATAACTAATTTTTGTTTTTTGTACAAAACCAGTTGTATATATTCTTTTGTTTTATAAACATTTCATAATTATGCTGTTTACCATTATCTTGTTAAATGAAAGTCATAAATGACGAATCACAATCGTTATGTTTCCGATAAAATTTGGTTGTATGTTTTATGTTATTATATGTTATTTCATAAACATTCTCTATAATTTGAGCCTGGACCTTTGCTATTTACATTTCCAGGATTGTCTGTGTACATGAATATGCCATTTCAGTTGTCAGAAAAGACCTATAAATAAATATAAGTTAAATATTTTAATAACTATTGTGCTTAAGATACTGAGCTAATTTCTTGCATGGTGAATCTAAGTATAAATAAATTAAAAACAGACTGTAGAAGAAGTGAACTGTGTGATTTTAATATAACTTATTTCAACTTTTGTTTTTATTTAGATGGTCACTTTTCCATTGACATCAGTAGTGTTGAAGAAGATCACAAATTTCTTGATTCTGACTCAATCCAAGCATTGATAAGGTAC